CCATAGTAAACTTGATATAACCAATGAGATTAGTCAAAGGGAAGTTTTTAAAGACAAAATGAGAAGAATTACATATTTTGAAACAATAATTCTTGGCTGCAAGGATTGCATTGGTCTAATATTAAACAGGCAGTTGTTGGGCATGTGTCCTTGTGGCATTTTGGGGGTAAGGTAGCAGTGACCTTTGTGCAAGATTGTGGTTCTAGAAGTCTTTGAGATACTTCTTGTTATCAGGAATTAGCAGGAGGTCCCCTCTTTCATACTCTCCTGGCTTAATTTAGTTTAATTTTGCTAAGGTTTAACTCAACTTTGCCAGGTATGGTGGTGCATACCTGAAATCCCAATGACTCAGGAGTCTGAAATAAGTGGATTGCAAGTTTGAAGTCAGCCTCTGCAATTTAGTGAGAACTTTTCTTAAAAAAAAAAAAGAAAGAAAAGAAAAGAAAAGAAAGGACTGGGGATGTGGCTCAGTGATCGAGCACCTCTGGGTTCAGTTTCCACTAATACACCCCCCACACCCCCCCACACCCCTCCACACACACACAAAGACTCCACTTTGATTCTGTCAGATTTCACAGTTGTTTACTATTCTATGGTGTGACTGTAATATCAGTGATTTAACTTCTCTCCTAATAATGAAGGTTCAAATTATTTCTACTTTTGTGATAGTACAAAAATGTGATAATACGTAAAACTCTGAATATATGATTTGATGTATTTTGGTGTCTACATCTCAACAGGTAAATTTATAGCAATGAACTTGCTGTGATAAAAAGTGTATGTATTTTAAGGATTTTTTTTTCCTTTCTTCTTTTTCTTTGAGACTGGCCTTGTTATGTTGCCCAGGCTAGCCTTGAACTGCTGGGCTTAAGTGATCATCCTTGGATGTCTCAGCCTCCTGAGTTGATGGAACTATAGGCCCTCACTAACAGCCCAGCTTGCATTTTTTTTTCTTTGACAAGTATTGGGGATTTATTTTTATTATTATTATTTTATTTTGAGACAGAGTCTCAAGTTCCCTAGCCTGTTCTGCAACTTGTGATCCTCCTGCCTCAGCCTCCCGGTTGCTGGGATTACTGGTGTGTGCCAGCATACCTGGCCCAGCTTTCATTTAAAATTTAAAAAAATATTTCCAAATCCCTTTCTAAAATGATGCTCCAAATTATATCCTCACCAACACTGGGAATTAGCACATTGAAAAATGTGATTTTATCAATCCGAAATGTTTTTTCTCGGTTCTGAGAAAGAATAAAATATAGTATTTAAATGTGGTGTTTTTCTGTATCTTGATTTTACCTTAATATTTTAATTGTCAAAGGCAATAGCAAGAACTGCTAAGAATGCCTGGTTGGGTCATTTGAAAAGGTGAGAATGACCCTGCATCCTGTGATAACTTTCAGGGTTGATTTATTTGGGAACAGTAGAATTTTTCATCTATCTGAGAGTTTTCTTCCTTTTTTTGTTTTTGTTTTTGTTTTTGAACCAAGATGTTAACTTTAACTACTTTGGATGAAAAAATTATCAAAATTTTGGTATAATTTCTTTGAGTTTAGAATGAATATAAAAAGGAGAATCTTCTTGATGCCTTAAATCCATCAATTATAGCCTTGGGCTATAAGTTATTGATGTCCTTAGGCCATTTTGAGTGTGTAGGATCAGTTAATACCTTTAGCTAAATGGCCTTAGGCTAATATTTTTAAAATATTCCTTGTTCAACTTTTTGTAATTTTTTGAATTTTCCCTGTTAGTTCTCACTTTTAAGTTTGTCATTTGATCTGTTTATAGAAGTTCCTCTCCCTTACCTTCCTAATTGGTTCTCTGGTTTCTAAATTTATTACATCCCTTGTTGTAAATACGCATAAAGTAGATGTAGATTGCTATTCAAGAAGGTTGCGATGGGTCTTTATGAGTAAAGTCTGTGCAATTAATGTGTAGGCCTCAGGGGACCTAATTTGCAGGTGGAGAGACCATTTTGGAAAGAAGGGGTTGCCATGTCTTTGGGTTGGGGGACAAACACTTTGAGCTCTATTTGTAGAAAGGTAGTGTGGTTGAAGAGTTGTTAGCAGATCTAGGTAGCCTTTTGTGACTCTAGTAAAGGGAGATGATATACAGTTGTCCCTTAGCATGTATAGGCAATTGGTCCCAGGACCCCAAAGGATACCAAATCCCTTCTATAAAATGGCCTGTAATCCCAGTGACTTGGGAGGCTGAGGCAGGAGGATCATGAGTTCAAAGCCAGCCTCAGCAATGGAGAGGCACTAAGCAACTCAGTGAGACCCTGTCTTTAAATAAAATTCAAAACAGGGCTGGGAATGTGGCTCAGTGTTCACATGCCCCCAAGTTCAATCCCCAGTATCAAAAAAAAAAAAAAAAAAAAAAGCCTAACATTTGCCTATAACCTATGCATATCCATTAAATCCTCAATGTATATGCTGTGTAAATAATTGCTATACGATATTGTTTAGGGAATATTGACAAGAAAAAGGTCTGAACATGTTCAGTACAGACACAACTCCCTCCCACCCTGAATATTTTCAATCTGCAATTAGTTGAACACATGGATGCAAGACCCACAGATACAGAGGGCTGACTGTACTTGATTGTAGGAACTTCTCTGAGCTTGGAGAGTCAGTGGGTAAAGGGGCAGTTATGGTGGTTCTGTGGTTTGTGTGATGAGAGAAGATGAAGGGGAGAGCTGAGGGAAGAGGGCCAGCATCTCTGTCTTCATTACCAGGTGGACTTAAACTTGATTTATACTTGTTCTACTTAGCAGTTAAGTTCCTTTTAACTTAGCAAACATACTGTAACCAAAACACTATGCCAGGTGCTGAGGGGCTGTCATGGTGAGTAAGACATGCACATGCCTTCAAAGGGCTTGTAGTCCACTGACAGAGAAGGGCCAGGAAAGAAAGAAAGAATAGGAACGAGTCAACCAAAGGTAGTGGAGTTCTGTCAATTATGAGTCTTTTAGTTGCAAGCAATAGAAAATCGAACTCAGACTAGCTAAAGCAAAAAGAGACTTAATTGGCTCTTGGCACAGCTTGAGCTGGGACTCAGATGGTGTCCCCAGGTTCCATCAGCTGACTGGGCTGTGGTCTTTGTCAGGCTAGTTCCCCTGGTGGTATGGTAGCAGGGTCTCTTACATCCTGTATGCTCATAGAGCAGAGTGCTCTTTTTTTCCCCCCTCCGAAAAACCCAGCAAATGTTTTATTTCTTTTCATTGGCTCTGGCCAAGCCTTATGGCCATCTCTGAGTCAACCACTCTGATCAGAGGGTGGGATGCAGTGATCATAGCAGCCTGCATTGCATTTTACACATCTTTATGCAAAGCACATTAGCCAAGAACAGGGAAAGGATGGTTCCCCAGGAGCCTACAACCACACCAGAACCATTAGAATAGGTAGCATACACTGAGTTGCCCAGGAAGCCACCAGATGTTTCCACAAAGTGGAGATAAAAGGTGTGAGCTGAGATTGTACTTGTCGATCTCAAAATCTATATTAAGACATTAGAGACTGAACAGTTCTTTTTAGGTTTGGGGTAGTTTTTCGTGTGTGGTGCTCGGGATTGAATCCAGCTACCACAGAGCTACAATCCCAGCCCTTTCTTATTTTTATTTTGAGACAGAGTCTTCCTTAATTGCATTGGTGAGGCCAGCCTCAAACTTGGAATCCTCTTGCCTGAGCCTCCTGAGTCGCTGCGATTTCAGCTGTGTGCACCATGTCCAGATAAATTTGGATATTTTCTGTAATTTGAGCCTTAAAGAAAGGAGAATGCTGGGGCGCAGTGGTGCACGCCTGTAATTAAAGAGGCTTGGGAGGCTGAGACAGAAGGATCGCAAGTTCAAAGTCAGCCTCAGCAACAGGAAGGCACTAAGCAACTCAGTGACACCCTGTCTCTAAATAAAATACAAAATAGGGCTGGGGATGTGGCTCAGTGGTCCAGTGCCCCTGAATTCAATCCCCAGTAGCCCCTGCCAAAAAAAAAATTAAAAATTAAAAAAAAAAAGAAAGGAGAACGTAGGGCATAAAAACGTTGACTCTGGAGGACCATAGACACAGTTCTGGGTCCTGTCTTTGTTATAGCTAGGGCATCTCCTGTCCTCAACTATCTTTTGGGAAAAATGGGGACAATGTCATTATTTACTCACAGGGTTTTTACAAAAATTTATAGAAAATATCCACCTAAAACACTTAAGTATCATGCTCACTTGTAGTTAGCTATAATTAATTTTGTTCTTCTTCTTTTATCAATTAGCCTAACTGATAACCTCTGATTTTTTTAATTATTTTTTTTCACTTGTTTACTTATTTATTTATTTTTGTATGTGATGCTGAGGATCGAACCCAGGGTCTCGTACGTGCGAGGCAAGCGCTCTACCGCTGAGCCACAACCCCAGCCTCGTGGATAACCTCTGATTTTTATTAGATCCCAAATAGTTCATGTCATAAAGACACTATTGAACCAGTGGTTTTAGAAGTTGTGTTTTTGTTGTTGTTGATGATGTTCCAGGGATTGAACCCAGAGGTGCTTAACCACTGAGCCACATCCCTATCCCTTTTTAGTTTTATTTTTTTATTTCGAGACAGGGACTTTCTAAGTTCTCAGGGCCTCACCAAGTTGCTGAGGCTGGCATTGAACTTGTGGTTTCCTTGCCTTAACCTCCTGAGTTGCTGGGATTACAGGCATGCACCACCACGCTGAACTACAAGAATTTTATTTTATGTTTTTAATGAGCATTTTGCCGGGTGTGGTGGTACACACCTATAATGCCAGCTGTTTGGAAGACTGAGGCAGGCAGATTGCAAGTTCCAGTCCAACCTGGGCAACTTAGCAAGACCCTGTCTCAAAATAAAAAAAAATTAAAATGGTTGAGGATTTAGCTCAGTGGTAGACAGTTCCTGGGTTCAATTCCCCGGACTGCCAAAACATAGTAAGCATCTTATTTGTAAGGTTGGAGTTTATGAGTTAACTTAAACAAAAATCTTGGCAGAGATACAGGCCACTTCAGAGCAGCCGCAGCAGCTGGTGGCGAAATGGAGATGCAGTCCTATTATGCCAAGCTCTTGGGGGAGCTGAATGAACAGCGGAAGAGGGACTTTTTCTGTGACTGCAGCATCATCGTGGAAGGGCGCATCTTCAAGGCTCACAGGAACATCTTGTTTGCTAACAGCGGCTACTTCCGAGCCCTGCTCATTCACTATATCCAGGACAGCGGGCGGCACAGCACTGCCTCCTTGGACATCGTCACCTCCGACGCCTTCTCCACCATCTTAGATTTCCTTTATTCCGGGAAGTTGGATTTATGTGGGGAGAATGTGATTGAAGTCATGTCAGCTGCCAGCTACCTGCAGATGAACGACGTGGTGAACTTCTGCAAGACATATATCCGGTCATCCCTTGATATTTGCCGAAAGATGGAGAAGGAGGCCGCAGTGGCGGCAGCGGTGGCCGCGGCTGCGGCAGCGGCGGCAGCAGCTGCAGCAGCTCATCAGGTCGACAGTGAGAGCCCCAGTTCAGGCAAGGAGGGGACCTCCTGTGGCACCAAGAGCTTGGTGTCCTCTCCAGCCAAGGGAGAAGAGAGTGTGGACATGAGAGAATCCCCTTGCGATGACTGCGGGGACTGCCACCCCTTGGAACTGGTGGTGAAAGACAGCCAGAGTGGAGGCTCGACTGATAGTGACTTCGCCACTCTGCCCAAACGCGTAGAGCCCAAGGTAGAATTCGATGCCGCTGAAGTTGAGGTGGAGGTGGGTGAACAGCTGCAGCAGTATGCCGCCCCCCTGAGTCTGGCCCACATGGAGGAAGCCTTGCCCAGCGGCCAGGCCATGGACTTGGCTTACAGTAACTACCACGTGAAGCAGTTCCTAGAGGCGCTCTTGCGCAACGGTGCTGTCCCGAGCAAAGACGAGGCAGACCATCACTTCCCTCGGGGTTTGGAGGGAAGACCGGAAGGTGCAGGGGTAGCTATGAGTTCCATGATGGATGTCCAGACTGACTGGTATGGAGAGGACTCAGGTGAGCTCCATTAACATTCATCGTCTCTGCTGGTCATTTAGCATGCACCTTCTGTGCCTTGTGTTCTTCCATCATCGTGGTCACCATCACCATTGATGTTTGTCACTGCCATCATCTGTCACCATCACCACCACCACCACCTGCTCTATTCAGGACATCGTTTCTTCACGTATCTGTGTTTTACCTCTACAACCAGAGTACAGTTCTCTTTTGGTATACATGAGGGATTGGTTCCAGGATCCCCTCAGATAATAAGTACCCGGTGCTCAAGTCCCTTATGTAAAATGATGCAGTATTTGCCTGTCACCTATAAACATCCTCCTGTCCAGATTATGAATAATATCTAATACAATGTAAATGCTATGTGAATAGTTGTTATAATGCATTGTTTGGGGAACAATGACAAAACAATGAAAAAAATCTGCACTTGTTCAGTATAGACACACTTTCTTTTTTTTATTTTTTAAAATTTTTTTGTAGTTGGACAGAATTCCTTTATTTTATTTGTTTATTTTTATGTGGTGCTGAGGATCAAACCCAGTGCTTCATGCATGGTAGGCAGAGACTCTACTACTGAGCTAAAGCCCCAGCCCTAGACACACTTTCTTCACCAATATTTTCAGTTAGTGATTGGTTGAATTCATGGATAATGAGGATGACTATAGAAGCATGTTGAGGGCAATTTGGAGATATGGGAAGAAGCCCCTCTTTTCCACTATCCAGCAATGGGATCTTAGTTAAATTACTGAATCTCTGAGCTGTTTTGCCATATTTAAAATGGAAAGAATCGTTCCTACCCTACCTTTCCCACAAGGTTATTGTGAGGATCAGAAGAGAAGGTTGTCAGTATTTTTTCCTCACATAGGATATTGTGTTCTATTGCAAAGGAGATTTATATGGTACCTGGCACATAGTAGGCACTCAGTATATATGAGTGGTTGAAGTGCTGTCTACTTGAGAATATTTTAAAACTAGTGTTTAGCTCCATGGGAGTCAATTTCTCACATCCTTTGGTAGGTGTGTCTGTGTTTCGGTGTTGGAGCTGGATCCCAGGGCCTTATGCATGCTAAGCAAGTACCCTATTACTGAGCTGCATTCCCCAACCTCATGCCATTTGTGTGTTAAGAGAATTTGGTTGTTTTCTTGAGCAATTCTGAAAAACGAGTTCACATGTTCAACTCTTCTTAACAGGTAGGGCAATCACAACCCAGCTTATGGGAGACAGAAACAAACTGGGCTTCCACTTTACTGATGAAAGGTGGCTTCAGAACCTCAAGAAATAATGAATCACCTTCTAGTTCGACCTTCAGTATTAAACAATGAAATCAGGCCAGGCACAGTGGCGCATACCTGTAACCCCAGCAGCTTGGGAGGCTGAGGCAGGAGAATTGCAAGTTCAAAGCCAGCCTTAGCAAAAGTGAGGTGCTAAGCAATTTAGTGAAACCCTGTCTCTAAATAAAATACAAAACAGGGCTGGGGATATGGCTCAGTGGTCAAGTACCCCTGAGTTCAATCCCTGGTACCAAAAAAAAAAAAAAAAAGAGGAAATCAATTACATTTATTCCTTATTAAATGACCATTTTGATACTTGTTAATTTCTTTCTTTTTTTTTTTTCTTAAAGCAAGAATACCATGTCTGATTAAAACTAGACTTCAAAACTTGAAAATGTTTTTTTGCTGCTCTGGTCTTCCACATCTGTGGCTTAACCAGCATTTGTTTAAGGCAGTGGCTGTTTCAGTGAACATACTGTGGGGATTTGTTGGAATTCCTGTTTCCTCATGATACTAGCATTTCACCATCCATGAGACCCTCATAAACCCCCATGAATTTGGCAGAGGAAATGTGGGGAAACAGAGACTGTTTAGTGAACTTTCCAAATGCAGAACCTGTAAGCAAGCATCAGAGCTTCAACTAGAAACCTGGGCTGGCTCCGGGTGTGGTGGTGCATGCCTGTAATCCTGGGGCTCAGGAAGCTAAGGCAGGAGGACCTTGAGTTCTAAGCCAGTCTCAGCAAAAGCAAGACGCTAAGCAACTCAGTGAGACCCTGTCTCTAAATAAAATACAAAATAGGACTGGGGATGTTGCTTAGTGGTAGAGCAGCCCCGAGTTCAATCCCCAGTACCAAAAAAAAGAAAGAAAGAAAGAAATCTGGGCTGGCTTTACACCACTTACTAAAGAGACTAAGAAGGTATCTTGAGGGGATAGAGGATTTCAGTGTCAAGATTTTTTTGTCCTTTAGCCCTTCTTTCCATAAGCTCAAAGAGTATCTAGAAATAGTAATTTGGCTCTGCACCACCTTCATTCAAGTCTGGTCTTAACCAGTATGGAAAATCAGGTTTATAACTGCAGGGTACTGTGTCGAGGAGCTACCTGGGCCTCAGCAGTGCCTATTGTTACCAGGTGTTGATTTCATTAACACAGCTCCAGAGTAAATTTATTCCAAGTGCCAAGGCACACAGTGGGATTGATTTGTTTTGTTATTCATTTATTTACTCCAATATTTGAGTTCTTTCCTTGTGAAGGCACAAAGCTGTCCCACATGAATGCAGCCCTCAAAGAACCAATGGTGTCTTTTTGCAGGGGTGGAGGACCAGGAATTGAACTCAGGGGTACTTGACCACTGAGTCACATCCCCAACCCTGTTTTGTATTTTATTTAGAGACAGGGTCTCACAGAGTTGCTCAGTGCCTTGCAGTTCCTGAAGCTGGCTTTAAACTCTCTTTTACTTTTGGCCTCAGCCTCCTGAGTTGTTGGAATTATAGGTGTGTGCCACCACACCTGGCCCAATGGTGTCTTTAGAGGAGATAAGACATGTTTAGAAATGATGTCATTGTTTTGAACAACCAACAATAAAAATTATAAAAAAAAAAAAAAGAAATGATGTCATCTCTTCCTGATGCTGAGAGACAGAGTTCTGTGTTCATAGTGATCTACCAAGAGAATGATTTCTTACTGGGAATTCTGGGAGATTCCACAGAGATGGCATTCCAGAGTAAGAGAAGGAGACATAGGGAAAAATTGATTGGAGTCAGACTGCAGGAAATCTTCAGTGCTTAGTGAGGCTTCATCTGCAGGAAGAAGAGTTTTGGGTAATTTGTGAGCTTGGAATAGACCAGATCTATGCTTCAGGGAGATTAATTTGGCCTCAACACGAGATGGCATGAGATAGGGCAGGGACCCTGGGAGGTTGCTGCAATAATCACAAATCTGCATTGGTCATCCCTGATGTAGCAGACACTGTCAAAGCTAAGGTCCTCCTGTCATCTCATCTCCTCCACTCTCTTCAACCCCAGCTCCAGCATGTCCCACCTCTTCTTGGAAAGTTCACCTACATTGGTTGCCTGCATTGTTTTGCTTCCTAGTGAAGATAGGACACCTAGGAAGTAAATTGGAAAGAGGATGTAGTGATTAGAAATTGTACAGATATCAGGGAATGTTCCAGATAGGGAGAGCAAAGTGCAAAGGCCCATGTGTATGATCATGCTTGTGAGTGAACAAAAGGGACAGCACAGATACTGGAGTGACTTTAGTGGGCTGAGCAAGGCTGAGAGTGTAGAGAGATGAGGAGGCCAGGTAAGAGCCACCAGGTCAGGCTTTGCAGGCCATGGGAAGTCCTTTAGATTTTTTTTGGTACCAGGGATTGAACCCAGAGGGACTTAAGCACTAAGCCACATCCCCAGGCTCTTCTTAGTCTTTCTTTGGAGACAGTGTCTGCTGAATCGCTTAGTTGCCTCACTTAAGTTGCTGAGGCTGACTTTGAACTTGTGATCCTCTTGTCTCAGACTCCCGTTTGCTGGGAGCCAGTGCCACCATGCCTGGCAGGAGGTTCTCTTTTGATGTCTCTTTTTCTCAATGAGTTAAGAAGTAAGAACAGCTGCTGAAATTGAGGAGTAGGAGTTAGGGTTTGAGTTTTTGAGCAAAGGGAAGGATTAAAATAGTCACTGAGAAAAGTGGAAGAGTGAATGAACCAAGGAAACAGGATGCCTGGGCAGAACCAATGGATCTTATGAGTTTAGTGGTCACGAATTTAAAATGAGATCAGAAGTGGGAGGGATGGCCCAGTCCTGTTATCCCAGCTACTTAGGAGGCTGAGACAAAAGGATGGCAAGTTTGAGGCCAGCCTTGGCAATTTAGCAAGAAGCTACCTCAAAATTTAAAAAGGGGTTGGTGATGTAGCTCGGTGATAGAGCACTTGCTTGCAATAGACTCTGGATTCAATCCCCAGTACCACAAAACAAACAAATCAACAACAACAAAAAATGAGATCAGAATACACAGTTGTATATTTTTCTCTGTTGGTGTTAAGTTGCCTTGTTTCAGGTATGGACTAGGTAGAAAGCACTGGGGTCATGATTCTCATCATTGACTGTTCATTAGATTTGGAGGGGCACTTTAAAAATATGATGCTAGCCAGGCTCAGTGGTGCAAGCCTGTGATCCCAGTGACCTGGGGTGGTGGTGAGGCAGGAGGATTGAAAGTTTGGGGCGAGCCAGCTTTAGCAACTTAGTGAGGCCCTGTATCAAAAAATAAAAAGAGCTGGGGTTGTAGTTCAGTGGTTAAGTACCCCTGGATTCAATCCCCAGTAACACCCCCCCCCCAAAAAAAAGATGCTGAACTTGTAACTCAATAGTAGAGCACTTGCTTAGTATCTGTGAACTCTGGGTTTGATCCCTAGCACACCACACACACACACACACACACACACACACATATGTTGTAAATGGACACAATACCTTTATTTTGTTTATTTATTTTTATGTGGTGCTGAGGATCGAACCCAGTACCTCACCTGTGAGGCAAGTGCTCTACTGCTGAGTCCCAGCCCCAGCCCCAGCCCCTGGACATCAGTATATTTTTAAGTGTTCCAGGTAATTGTAATACGTAGGTAAGTTGCATCCTGTGATCTGTTGGTTGTCTAGGATCAGGGCGCTGAGGTGGGTAGAGAACAAAGGTCTGGAGAAGAGGAGAGGAAGTCAAGGGACAGAAAGGCCAGGGTATTATAAGGGTGGTTTTCAGTATTCCAGCCAAGGATTAAACCAAGAGTTGCTGAAGGCTGGGTGATTGCATCTTTAAGGGATGGGATGGCCTAGGGCTGGGGTGACCCTAAGGGAGGGGCAGAAGTGGGATCGTCTGATGATAAGAGTTTCAGAGGTCTCAGGGCTTAAGGAAAGAGGCAGAGACAGTGTGAAAAAGGCAGTGAAGCACAGGGAGGCCCCTCCCCGCCTCTGACCCAGGGGCAGGAGGTGCTCAGCGGGGAGCATGGGCTCAGCCCAGGCAGCCATTCCAATCCTTGGAGGACTCTCCAACCTGTGCCTTCCCCTCCCCACCAGCTCCAGATTTACCTGTCTGACCTGGACATCCCCATGTGGACACTCTGCACACACCTCAAACACAGTGAAATCCAAGCAGACACCTCTTCCTCCTGCACCTGCTCTCCTCCCGTGTTCCCTGCCAAGTCCACCATCTTCTACCAAGTCGCCAACCCACAATCTGTGTCATGATTTAGAGCCCTTTCTTTCCTTGATCCCCACCTGCAAGGTGGTCATCAGTGCTGCTGGTTTTCCTTCTCCTCAGTGTGTCCACCCCAGGACCACTGTTTTAGTTCATGGCATCTCTCATGCAGACCTGCATCCCCTCCCACTTAGAATTCCTACCTTTAATCTTGCCTCTCTTAAATCTTTCCTCTGAACTGTCTCCAGAGGGATCTTTTAAAATTAAACCTGGCCAGACACAGTGTCCTATGCCTGTAATCCCAGCAGCTCCAGAGGCTGAGGCAGGAGGATTGCAAATTCAAAGCCAGTATCGGGCATTTAGCAAGGCCCTAAGCAACTGAGTGAAACCCTGTCTCTAAATCAATATAAAAAAAAGGTCTGGGGATGTGGTTGAGTGTTCCTGGGTTCAATTCCCGATTCAAAAAAAAAAAAAAAAAAAAGTCAAATCTGACCATGAAAAATCTGATCATATACCTGCCCTGCCTAAAATCATAGATGTTTATAGAGCAAAGTTTCAGTTCCTTAACATGTCAGCTCCACCAGGACAGGTAGTTTTGTCTCTTAATGTTCACTGTTGTGTCCCCAGGGCCTAAGACAAAGCCTTACACATAGTTGGTGCTCAGTGTAAATTTCCTGAATAAACAAATAAATGAAACTATCACAGTCTGGCTCTTGCCTTTTCCTCAGCCTCATTCCTAATTCCCCTTCTCATACTCCATATTATCTTTAATCTCTATGCTTGAGCATGTGTTGTTCCTCTATCTGGGATCCCTTTATCTGGAACTTCTGGTGAACTCATTCATCCTTCAAAACTTTGCTCAAAGGTCACCTCTTCTCTGGAATCACCTCTGAATTCCTAGAGAGAATCATGACTTTCTTATCTATATTTCTTCAACACTTTGAACTTTACATGTGTTACATGGTATTGTATAGGTATATTCACATGTCTGCAAACACAGCACCTAGGACGTAATATGCATTCAAGGGGACTGTTGTTGCACTGGGAAGTTAGATTATGAATGAGAATGGAAAGTACTGAGATAATTCATACCTTTCTGATGAAGAAATGGTTAACAGTTTCCCACTCCACCCCCAGGGCTTATGCTGGGCCCATTTTACTTTATGTTCCTGTAGATAATCAAGGGTATAGTCCAAGACCAAGCTGAGGGGGGTAAATGACAGGAAGCCTGCACAACGCCAAAGGCATTTGGCAGAAAGATGAACTATGAGCTGCTGCTTTCATCCCAGGAAACAGATTATCATTCCTATTTCACGGGTATCTCAGGACCTACAGTGTAATCAGTAAGAAAGATCATAGTCCACCCTGTGTATGGTGTTGAGCTATGAGGTGCTGCTTTATCTTAGGAAACAGATTTTAGAGTCCCCATACCTTTTGCAAAATGTTAGGCATTATCAGGGTGGGAACCAGAAACTGAAGAGAATATATCCACCCCTCCTCCAAAAGATGTTGGGCCCTCCCTTGGAATTCCCTTGCCATGTTTTTGCGGCAGCTGGAAAAGAGTTAGGTGTCTTGAGGTGGTCCCAGAGAGAAAGTTACTCCAGTGTTGAGAGAGACCACAAGAGCCAAAGAAATGATGATGATAGGACTGGGGTTGTGGCTCAGCGGTAAAGCGCTTGCCTAGCACGTGCGAGGCCCTGGGTTCGATCCTCAGCACCACATAAAAATAAATAAATAAAATAAAGGTATAAAAATTATTAAGAAAAAGAAATGATGATGATGGCAAAATGGCTAATATTTATGAGTGCTTGCTATGTGCCAGGTGCTGCACTTTAGGTGTTAAATTTCATTTCATTCTTATTACAATCCAATGAGACGGGAATGATAGTCATAACCTGTTTTACAGATGAGGAAAGTAAGGCACAGAGAAGTTGAGTGAGAAGTCCAAGGGCACACAGCTAATAATTGATAGAACCAGGACTTAACTCAGTTTTCTCTACCCAAAAGGTTTGAGTCCCTAGTGTCCCCATGGATATGATGACCAAAGTTGTGAATCCTGAAGGGCACAAATAGAAGGAACAAATCTCAGAATACTGCAGTAAGTGCAACTCAGAAGACCTGAGAAGAACCGTTTTTATATGTGTGGGTGACAACCATGACATCACCTTACTAGTTGTATAAGCAAGGTGGGGAAAAAATGTAGGAACAAGGTTTAAGTGTATTCCGGGGTATTTGATGATTTCAGATATATTGAGTTAATATGAATTTCAAACAATTTAAGGTCTGCATTATAGCAGACCTCTTCTACATATTCCTGGAAGATATCCTTAGGAACTGTTGTCCATATTCCTGGAAGATATTCTTAGGAACTGTTGTCCAGGCATGAATTCTGGTCCAGAAGTCTGTTCCTCCTTAGGATTTTTTCAGTTTTGAAGATAATGAGATAATTCAGAGTCTGTCTTCTTCTGCTCAAGCTACTATAACAAAGTATAGTTATAGTATAACAGAAATGTATTTTCTCACAGTTGGAAGGCTTGAAGTCCAAGGTGGAGGTGCAGGCAAGGTTGGTTTCTGGTGAGGCCTCTCTTCCTGTTTTGCAGATGGTAGTTCCCACAGTGTGAGCTCTAGGGTAGGGAGGGGAGACCAGAATAAGGGGGAGAGAGAGACTGAAAGATCAGTCATTTCGAGTGTCTTCTTCTTCTTCTTTTTTTTTTTTTTCTTAAAGAGAGAGTGAGAGAGAGAATTTTTTAATATTTATTTTTTAGTTTTCAGCGGACACAACATCTTTGTTTGTATGTGGTGCTGAGGATCGAACCCGGGCCGCACGCATGCCAGGCTAGCGTGCTACCGCTTGAGCCACATCCTCAGCCCCTCGGAGTGTCTTCTCTTATAGGGCCTCCAGACCTATCATTTAAGCACCACCCTTATGAGCTCTTTTAACATGAATTACCTCCTTAAAGGCCTTATCTCCAAATACACTCAGTTTAGGGGTTAAGCCTTTAAGGTATGAATTTGTAGGGGGACACAATTCAGTCCCTAACAAGGTCTCATTTCTCACCATCTCAAAATGAAATCAAACAGAATAGACACACCAGAGGGAGTATGTTTCAGGAAGCATCTCCAGCTCTCCATGTGAAGATACTGTGTCCTGGGATGTATTTCTCGACTGTGAATCACAGAGAAGTGTGAGAGCTATGTCTGTGGCGGTTCCTGCAACCTAGTGTCAGAAGCCCATTCTACGTCTGGCTGACTGGGAGCCAGAGCTGGAGTTAGGCTGGTCTTTTGATACCCTCCCTGTGTGTCTGGGCTGGTGGAATCCCCCAGCTCAGGACCCCATCCATCAGAGGGTGGCCAGGGTTTCCACGGCTTACGGTAACGCTAAATCAATCCATTGGGTTCTACAGGTGACGTGTTGGTCGTCCCCATCAAGCTGCACAAGTGTCCTTTCTGCCCTTACACTGCCAAACAGAAGGGCATCCTCAAGCGGCACATCCGCTCGCACACTGGCGAGCGGCCCTACCCGTGCGAGACCTGCGGGAAGAGGTTCACCAGGCAGGAGCACCTGCGGAGCCACGCCCTGAGCGTAAGTGCCCCGCCCCGTGGCTCTTCTGGCAGGGGCAGCTCCTGATATTACGTAATGTAAGGGTAAAGCAGCTTGTCTTTCCCTTCTCTGCCCTCTGAGGTATTGTCAGAGAATTTTGAACCTATTTCTCCTACTGAATTAAAGCTGGGCTGGTAGCGCTTAGAGAAAGCTAAAACACAGATATCAGACTGGTTTTCTTTCCTTTCTTCCTTCCTCCTCTTTCTTTCACTCTCCCCTGCCCCCCAGACCCCTTTCTGCTGGGAACTGAACCTAGGGGCACTTTGTCATTGAGCCACATCCCCATTAGGGCCTTGCCACACAGACTAGTTTTCTACAGAGAGAGAGTCAAGGACTTTTAGATCCTGCTTAGGAATGGTTGTCAAAAGGCAGAGAACAACAGGGCTTAGACAGGGAAGTGGGGATCTTCCCACTGGTGTGATCCCAGAGATAACCTGCATCCTCAGTTTCCCCTGGGGGTAGGGGAGGGGTGTGTTACCATTTATAAGGCTACCTGTAGGCAGCAAAGAGGGCTTTAACCCAAAGGTACCTCTCTTCTATCTAGCTGCCCCTAGGATTCTATTTTCATGTGAGCTGGTGATTCCCACCAGCCACAGAACCTTCCAGCCATTTAGAAAGACTCTGCATTTATGGTCATCTCTGAGCAAGGCAGTTAATCTTTGGAAAAGCCAAAATAAGGCCAGGGAATGTAACTCAGTGGTAGAGCGCTTGCCTAGCTTGCACGAGGCCCTGCATTCCATCCCCAGGACTGCGCCCCCCCCCACCACCAAAAAAAAAAGAATGTGAGCCAAGTGCAGTGGTGCACACCTGTAATCCTAGCGACTTTGGAGGCTGAGACGGGAGAATCGCGAGTTCAAAGCCAGCTTCAGCAATGGTGAGGTGCTAAAGCAACTCAGTAAGACCCTGTCTCTAAAAATTATACAAAATAGGACTGGGGGTGCTGGGGATGTGGCTCAAGCGGTAGCGCGCTCGCCTGGCATGCGTGCGGCCCGGGTTCGATCCTCAGCACCACATACAAACAAAGATGTTGTGTCCGCCGAAAACTAAAAAATAAATATTAAAAAAATTCTCTCTCTCTCTCTCTCTCAAAAAAAAAAAAAAAATAGGACTGGGGATGTGGCTCAGTGGTCGGGTGCTCCTGAGTTCAATCCCTGGTACCCCTGCCCCCCCCCAAAAAAAAAGAATGTAAAAACCCATAGAATGAGATAAAATCTCTGCAAGGCAAATGTTTGATAAGGGTCTGAAAAATTTAAAGAACTCTTACAGTGAAACAATAAAAAAGGCATAATTTAGTTAAACATGGTCAAAGAATTTGAGTAGGTATTTCTCTAATAAAAAGACATGCAAATGGCCGATGAGCACCTGTAAAGATGCTCACCATTATTACTTATAGGGTAAATGCAAATCAAAGCCAACGTGAGATGCTACTTTACACCCACTAGATGCTATCATTGTTGGTTGTCTTTATCAGTCTTTCTTGTCCCTCTCTCTTGTATGTATCCTGGTTCTCAGAGCTGCTGTACCCTGGAGTCCCTATAGAGTGCACACATTAGAAGGACATTACCTGGGACTGGGGATATACTTCAGTTGGTAGAGTGCTTGCCTCGAATGTACAAGGTCCCGGGTTCAATCTCCAGCACCACCAAAAAAAAAAAAAAAAGATATTTCCTTATACAGAGGGAGTGACACATACCTGTAATCCCAGCTCCTCGGGAAACTGAGGCAGGAGGATGGCAAATTCAATGCCACCCTGAGCAACTTAGCAAAACCCTGTCTCAAATTTTTAAAAGATAAATAAAAAGAGCCAAGGGTTCAGCTCAGTGGTGGAGTGTTTGCCCAGCACATACAAGTCCCTGAGTTCAATCCCTAGCATCAGTCCTAATCAGTTCATTGAATGCCCTTTATGTGCCAAGGACTAGGAATTCAGTAATGAATGAGATAGCTTCTGTCCCTGCCCCTTAGAGCCTACAGTCTACTGAATTTTGTCAATGATTTATGAGGCATACAACAAAGGAAGAAGCATAGGTGAGAATATATAGTTGGGGACCCTAAGCTGGCTCAGAGCATCAGGGACAACTTTCTTGAAAGGCATCAGGGAACGGTGAGGAGCTGGTGATGGGAAGGGGGAACACTCCACACACATCCTGGGGTGGAAGGACCTCGGTGAGACTGAGACTCTGCAGAGAAAGCAAGGGGGAGAGGACATGAAGTGAGGCTGGAGGGTCAGGCAGAGGCCAGATCACATGGGGCCTGTGGACCCTGGCTCAACCCCTTTTCTGTGATATTTACTGTGTGTTTTTGTGATCATAGGTACACAGATCTAACCGCCCAATCATCTGCAAGGGCTGCAGAAGAACCTTCACGAGCCACCTTTCTCAGGGGCTGCGGCGCTTCGGGTTGTGTGACAGCTGCACCTGTGTTACAGACACTCATGATGACGATGACGATTTGATGCCCATCAACCTTAGCCTTGTGGAGGCATCATCTGAAAGCCAAGAGAAGAGTGACACAGACAATGACTGGCCAATCTATGTAGAGTCTGGCGAGGAGAATGACCCCACTGGAGAGGATTCTGATGACAAACCACAAATTCGATCCAGTGCATCAGAGCGGGAGACACTGACATAGCAATAAATGGGTGGGGAAGACATCTTAGAATGCACTCTTGCTCATTCTGCGGCAAAAGCCCCCATTGGTTCAATATTGTGCAACCCTGGGAGGAACTTTTTTTGTTTTCATTGTTATTATAATTGCATTTTTGTTAGGCTACCCAGTAGAGGCCGAATTTTGTGATTTAAGACTGATAATTTTAAAAAATTTATTTTTATTTTATTCATTTATTTATATGTGGTGCTGAGAATTGAACCCAGTGCCTCACATATTTGAGGCAAGTGCTCTACCACTAAGCCACAACCCCAGCCCAAGACTGATAACTTTTTAGTGTGGTACCCTCCGTTTCTGAGGGCTTTGCTGACCACTCCTTAATTCTGAGTGAATGGAGGGTAGCCCAAAGTTTTCCTGTTTTTCCTGCTGTGCATCCCTCTGGTTAAGAGGAAGATAAGAAAATCCAGATGCTTGTTTTCACATTGTCCCAATCCTCTGCATCCCTTTTTAAACATCCTTCTTCTCCAGTAGGCAAGACATTAAGTTTGGGATCAGTCTTCTCTTTGTCAAGCCTGTCCTAAAGATTTCCACATTTTAATTTTCTGGCAATGTATTAAAGGGAATGTTTCTTTGATATAAAACAGACTGACTGCATGATCATAAAAGGTACTCCAAAACTATAGTCTTAAAGACTGGGAGTATTTGTGTGCAGAAAAGCCTGGAAATGAACTGAAAGGTTCATTAGGGCATCCCACGTGCCCAGTTGAATTATATTTTATAATATTATATTATAATTCCCAAGAAGGGAGCTGTGAGTCAGGGCTGGGTGGTTTCCCTGTCTGGTTTGGTATTCAGCAATTCTAAACACACAAATAACCTGTTCTGAGATCATAAAGCAAGTTACTTGGGCAAAACTCAAATTGCTGCCCTACTTGTTCCAGCCATTTCCAAAGGACATCTCTATGTAACACAGAAATGAAGCTTCCCATGACATATTTTTCATTCTTTAACTTTGTCTATGCCCAGAACTTTAATTGGAAGGAAATTATAAGCCCATCTAAACAAGTTCTATTTCTGAATCATTTATCTTTTTTTTTAGTTGTTGATATGATAGACCTTTTTATTTATTTATTTATTTATTTGCATTGCTGAGAAACGAACCCAGGGCCTCACACATGCCAGGCAAATGTGCTACACTGAGCCTCAGCCCCAGCCCTCATTTACCTTTTAAAAGACCCTCTCAAAGGAAAGAGAATATTAATTGAACAGGTTTTGAAGCCAATCTGCTTTTCATCTACACTGCAGCTATACAATCATTCTAACAAAAGAGGCTGAATGTCTTTAAAGGGTTAAAGAGCATACTCTTTAGGAGATATTAGGGACAAAGGATGTACTTGAATGCACTTTCAAATTTTGTCTTAAAGTATCCAAAATGGATTTTTTAAAAATCCCTTTACCTTTAATTTTTATACAGTGTGTTTCAAAAGATGTAAAATCAACTTTTCTTTCTGCCTCTTGAACAAAAACAAAAAATCAAGAGCAAGTGTAAATTGTAAATTGGCTTGTAGGTGTTGGTCTGGTTCTTGAAGGGTTAAAGAGGGCTTTTTTTATTGTCCTTGTTTGTTTGTTTGTGGTGCTGAGCATTGAATCCAGGGCCTCTTGCATGCTAAACAAGCACTCTACCAGACAGGACAGTCAGGAATTAAGAGTATATAGAAAAAAAAATTTTTTTTTTTTTTGTTCTGGGATTGAACCCAGGGTGCTTTACCACTGAGCCATGTCCCCAGCCCTTTTATATTTTATTTTGGGACAGGGTCTTGATAATTTTCTTAGGGCCTCGCTAAATTGCTTAGGCTGGCTTTGAACTCACACACACAAAAAAACCTTCTGCCTCAGCCTTCCAAGTTGCTGGGATTATAAATGTGCAACTCCATGCTGGGTTAGAAACTTTTATAACACTTTGGTCTTGTGACAGCCACACATGTGATCAGTGGCCTATTCTTCAACAGGGTATGGGCCAGCTCAGGCATGGCCAGCTGTGAGCCATACTGTACAAAGACTGGATACTAGGCCATGCAAGCAGTCTACCACTAAGCCACAACACCAGCTCCTCAAAAAAAGGATTTTCGCAAAAGAAAACATTTTTTTTTTTTAGGTGTAGATGGACACAACACAATGCCTTTATTTTTATGTGGTGCTGAGGATCGAACCTGGGTCCCGCCTGTGCTAGGGGAGCACTCTACTGCTGAGCTACAATCCCAGTCCCGCAAAAGAAAACTTAGTGTTTAGACTTGTTTTATAAGGACTTATATTTAATATTTTTATTTTCTTTTTAATTTATTTCTGATTTTTTTTTAGATGGGGGTGGTCTCACTATCTTGTCCAGGCTGGCGTTGAACTCAGGACCCTCCAGCCTTAGCCTCCCCCAAAACTGGGATTACTAATATGTACTATCACACCCAGTTTATTTCTGATGTTTTGTTGTTGTTGTTGGAGGGTACTGGGGATTGAACTCAAGGGCACTTGGCCACTGAACCACATCCCCAGCCCTATTTTGTATTTTATTTAGAGACAGGGTCTCACAGAGTTACTTAGCACCTCACTTTTGCTGAGGCTGGCTTTGAACTCGGGATACTCCTGTCTCAGCCTCCCGAGATGCTGGGATTACAGGCATGTGCCAACATGCCCGGCAATTTCTAATGTTTTAATATACTTTTCTGGGCTGGGGTTGTGGCTCAGCAGTAAAGCACTTGCTTAGCACATGTGACGCCCTGGGTTCGATCCCCAATACCACATATAAATAAATAAAATAAACGTATTGAAAAATACTACTTTTCTACCTCACAGTTCAACTTCTGTCTGCCTTTTCTGGGAGAGCCTTGATTCTCTTCAGTGATCCTGTAACCTATTCATATCATTGGGTAAAGTTTCATTGTAAGACATTGATTTTCAATTGAGAGTGATTTTGCCCCACAGAGGACATTTGGCAATGTCTGGAGTTGTTTTCAGTTGTTAGGACATGGGGCAGGGTGCTGCTGGCATCTAATAGATAAAGACTAGGAATGCTAATAAACATTCTACAATGTGTAGGACAGTGGCCTCACAGCAAAGAATCATATAGTTCAAGACATCAGTAGTCAAGGTTGAAAAACTGTGGGTATTTGACAGCTTGCTGTTGCTGTGATACAATGCCTGAGAAAAAACTTAAAAGGAGGAAAGATTTATCTTGGCTCACATTTGGAGATTTTAGTTCATGGTCACTTGACTCCGTTGTTTCTGGGCCTGGGTTGAGGCAGAACGTCATGGTGGGGAGGGTGTAGTGAAGCAAAACTGTTCACCTCAGGGCTGCCAGGAAGCAAAGAGAAGAGGAAGGTACAGGGGACAAAAACGTAGCCTTTAAGGGCATGCCCCCGCCCCAGGACCTACTTCCTCCAATTAGGCCCCACCTCCTAGGGTTTTTTTTTTTTAACCACTTCCCAACAGCCCACAATCCATCAAGTGGATTAACTAATTATGGTAGTTAGATCCAATCATCTTCCAAAGGTCCCACTTCTGAACACTTTGCCTTGGGGACCAAGCCTTCAACACACCAGCGTTTGGGGGACATTTCAGATCCAAGCCATAACACCCTGCTGTAAGATATGGTAAGATTTTTTTTAAATGACCTTTAATGTGTGAACTTAATTTTGTGTTCAGTTACTGAGGCCAGATGGTTCACAGCTTGGTTTACATTTATGATGCGGAAACTTAGAAATCCTGACTCTGATTCCTATACCCGGAACAATTGTCTCTGTTCATTTTTGTTAAATTTTAAAGTAGCAGAATCATTAGGAGCAAAACAGAATGTGAAGCTTAATATGGAAAAGATTTTCTTTCTTCCATGATATCTCAGGTTGTGACATTCCTGGTCGACTGTCTGGAGTTTGTGTGTGATACACGATATGACCAGTCATTGGGTATAACTGGATTGCTGAATTTTTTCACTTTTAAAGGAGATACTTCCTTTGGATCCTCGGATCATAAGCAGGTTGTCATTTAAATTTATATCATATTTGATGGTCAATATTTATAATCGTAATGAATTTGAGGTTTCATTCATGGAGTTGGTGATTTTTTTTTCCTTTCTGCAGGACTGGGGATGGAACCCAGTGCCTCACACGTGCTAGGCCAGTTCTCTGCCACTGAATCACATCCCCAGCCCACAGTGATATTTTTATAATAAGTAAATTCATAGTTGGGCCCCAAACAGATTATTAGTAATTTCGTTTATATTCCGACATCATTCTGGCACATTCAGTTTAAGTTCACAAAGGGATATTTTTGTCTCACAATAGATACCTTGCATGAATGGGAACAGGATTCTTATAATGGAATTCAAAATTGGTGTTTCTCTTGAGAGATGGGGGTCCCCCTTGTCAAGTGTTGGGAAAGAGTGTAAATAAGGCCTGTAACTATAATATTTAAGAAATGACACTGCACATCATAGGTTCTGATCATTTGGCAAAAGGATGCAAATATTTTGGTGGCCACTAGTCTCTGCAGATTCTTTAAGGAAACTGCTGACCTAGCGATCTACAGAATGTTGTGGAATTGAGTGTTCTGGTGATTCAGGGTACTGTGATGGGTTTTTTTTGTTGTTAATTGATGTTGCAACAAACCCCACTTCGAGGAAGGCAATGGGTGGGGCTACGTGCACCAATTCTGAGAGTAGTGGCAAGACTGCAGTGGCCTTTGGTCCACGGATTCATACTTTCATTAGCTTCCCTAGGTTTGCTTGTGTGTCCCTTGTGCATTGAGAATAGAATTATCTATGTGAAGTCTAGCATAAGGGGCTAGGGAGGGGCAGAGGGTTGGGTGGGTAAGAAGTCCCTGTCACACTGTTTTGAGCATTGCTGCTGTACTTCCTGTTGTCATTGGTCTGTGTGGCTTGCCTTGTGCTTTCATGCGATTGCTCACATGATCTTCTAACCCAAAAAAAGGGGCCCTTTATTTGGTTGCTTATAATGAACAGTATTTTGTTGACTTTTGCTCCTTTATATGTCTATCTTTCTACCCTGTATTACTCTGTTTCTCAGACCTTTCATTGTAGTGCTGGAAATTTGAATTGTTTTCTTCTAAAGATGCTTCTGTAGAGAAAAATGAAACTTTTGGTGGGGGTGGGTGGATAGGAGTAGTTTGGTTGATTTCTAAAATGTCTCTATTTTAAAAGGTGACAGTAACTCACATCATGATTAGATGACATAGAATCATTAGTACTGAAAGAAGACATCCATTTTGACCCTCCAGGGAGATAATTTTGCTACTACCAATTCTTCATTAACAGCTGTGGTTTTAGGGAAGTACTTTTTATACCCATCATTCAATTTTTTGACCTTTGTCAGAAAAGTAAAGTCAGTGAAAGTTATGGTGGGGATTGTGTGCTTTGAGGAAGAAGGTTTAGAAGTGACAAGCTTGGGGATTTTTAGGGGAAGTATCCATTTGAGATACATGTCTTGGTGACTTGATATGGAGATGGATTATATCGTGCAGTCTGTGAAAGGTATGGTCAGGATTTTTGTTGGAAGCAGAAAACAACTACCAGATAGTTGCACATCTTTTACTATTGTCTGTAGCTCCTGTGGAACATCTACTCTACCAGGAAGCCAAGCAAACAGTACTGCAGTGCCTTCTAGGGGCCTACTGAGGCTCAGCTGAATGTTTAGAAACATTCAGACTCATAAGCTGCCACCCTTGGCATCAGTGTCACGTAGAAGGCTATAGAGTGGGAAGTACAGCTTGGCAGCAGGGCAGATCAGCTGTTGTCGTTCTATGGGAGTCCCTGCAGCTGTCCATGTAGCATAGCTCATGTTCAGGGAGACAGATCAGGTATTAATGTGGAGGCTGCCCTAGCTTAGAAGCTTCTTGTCCCATGGGAGCAATTATCTCTTAGAACAACATAGATGTCTTAGACATAGCCTCCTGGGTCTCCAAGCTTGTTCTAAGAGTCACCAGTTGGGGAAACCCAAAGCTGTGGCTTCTTCTCAGGCATTTCTAGTCTCCCAGCCCAGATGCAATTTACCACGTAGGGGTCATTCTCCTATATGTAATGTTGCCTGGAAACATAGTTGATAGATGACTCTATTATGTTGCCAGGCGAACAGAGCTAGAAAATTTAACCAAAGGTCAAAATCTCAGCAAAAGGGGAATAGATTTTGTTAATCCTTACCTAACAGTATGTGAAGCAACTGCACAAAGATATTCCACCTAATCTTTTTTTTTTTTTTTAATATAACAGGTCCCAGTGTTCCAAACATCCAGTTTGTTAATTAATTAATTAATTTTTATATGGTGCTGAGGATCCAACCCAGGGCCCCACACGTGCTAGGTGAGCACTCTATTGCTGAGTCACAACCCCAGTCCTCCAAGTAATTCTTTTTTGCAGGGGGTGGGGGGGGGGGACTGGGAATTGAACCCAGGGCACTTGACTGAGCCACATCTGAGCCACATCTGAGTCATACCTCAGCCCTATTTTGCATTTTATTTAGAGACAGGGTCTCACTGAGTTGTTTAGGGCCTTGCTGATGCTGAGGCTGACTTTGAATTCGCAATCCTCCTGCCTCAGCCTCCGGAGCTGCTGGGATTATAGGCATGCACCACCACACCCAGCTCCTCCACTTAATTCTTATAAAATAGAGCCAGAGGAGTTTCCTGTGAGAAGGCAGCCAACATTTTTCTTCATTTGAATAATATTCATTCTTTGTGCTTAGCTGTTTATGATTAATATACTGTTTATAAATTTTACTGAGGTAGGTGGAAGAGTTGGCTAAACAGTCAAAATGGCCCCATCAAAATGTCATATATCCCTTGGTGCTATTTGTAGTTGGCAAGTACAGTATGTCATACTATAGGGACATTATTTAATGGAAATTTCTGAGGGTTACATCAGTCATACTTCGAGGGGAATCCAAGCCCTGCCAGGAACCAGCAAGCACTGGGCTCCAGGTCATGGTCCCCCTCACTGCTGCATCATATATTGCTACTCTTGGCTCCTTCAATTGCTCCTGGCACATCAATAAGTGAGGACAGCTGTTTATTTATTCAACAGTTATCCACAATTATTTATAGAGTCCTAACCGTGGGCCATTCACTATGGTGTCTTTAATGAGCCTGCCCAATCCCTGCCTGGAAGGAACTTGCAGCGTGCCATCAGGAGCCCAGCAGGTAAGCAGTTATAATGTAGTGTGGGGCGTGACACCTAGAACTCCTAGCCCAGTCTCACAGCCTTGGAGACGGCTTTCTTATCTAAGCTGCTGCTGAATTGTGATCATCCCATTCCATAAACTTCTATGTATAAGCAATTTAAACAGTTTCTGAAATACCCTGCCTTTTCTAAACTTGGTGGCTTTGGACATTAACAGTGTTTAAATAACCTGTTTTATTCAGATGTATGAAAATTGTATACACATTTCAGAATATCTCTAGTCTTTAGAAAATATGCGCCAGATGCTATTGCTTTCTTATTTCAAAAAAACTATCTATAATGTGTGTATATATATATTATTTGTCAATTAAAAATAAAATTAAAACAACAAATAACTTTCCATTATATTGATCTAGTGTAATAAAACAAAAACATTATTGCTGTGACACGTGGAGAGATCCCGGTGGATTGAGTCTTGGTTGGCTGTGAACTAGCTGATACTGCAGAACTTAGGATAGATGTAGGACAGGACCATTCAGTCACAGGGTCTGAGAGCTGGAAGGGACCCTAGAGATGGTCTCCTGCAACTCCATTTTACTCTGGAGATGAAATGACTAGTTTCTAGTCCCTACACACCTGGTGAAGATCAGAAACCAGGACCTGACAGGCCAAAGCCAATAGCAGGCATGTCTGGACAGACAAGAGAGAACATCCACAGACAGCACTTTTTCTTTGGTTACCTATTAGACAAAAATGCTGTTTGGGCCTGATATGATCAAATATGCCTTGTGTGATCAGGGCCTGCATTCTTGTGATGCTTAGACAGGGAGGGGGGAGTCTTAAATAGAACATAGGATAGTTAATCTAATCTTTTTGTTCTATAATACCCACGAGTATCTACAACAACATAACCAGAATTGAACATACAAATGATGCAAATGGAAATTTCCATTGTCTGGTTATTTTTTAACATATATCATTTGATTTTTTTTTAGAGAGAGAGAGAATTTTTTAATACTTATTTTTTAGTTTTTGGCGGACACAACATCTTTGTATGTGGTGCTGAGGATTGAACCCGGGCCGCACACATGCCAGGCAAACGCGCTACCTCTTGAGCCACATCCCCAGTCCTATCATTTGATTTTAATGTATTTGCTTTATTTGTAAAAACTTCCAAAAGTAAAAACTATCCAGCATTTTCTTGAAATTACTTTTCCCAACATCTCTATATTTTATTTTATTCTAGTACTGAAGATTGAACCAGGGGTGCTTTACCAACGAACTACATTTCCAGTCTTTTTTGCTTTAAAAAAAAAAAAATGGGAAGCACTGTGATTGTGGCTCAGTGGTAGAGTGCTCGCCGACTAGCAAATGTGAGGCCCTGGGTTCCATCCTCAGCACCACATAAAAATAAATAAATAAAATAAAGGTATTGTGTCCAACTACAACTAAAAAATAAATATT